TAATTTTTTGCTACAAAAAACTAGACATATGGAACTCTATTTCACTTTTTACAGAATAGATCTAGCTCATTTCGTTTAAGAGTTATTTCAATTCTTGAGGCGCCTAACATTATTGGCCGATTAGATATTATAAATAAGTAAATAGATGAGTGAAATTAGGAAATTAAAACTTATGTAAAATAACTAAATGAAGATTAATGGTAATTAAAGTAGCATTATATTCGTTGAATCAAATGTTAAAAAGTCATTAATTTGATTAACTATTTTGATAATCTATTTATAGTTGATTTAACAATAAATTATGAGAATAAATTTACAATGCTTATTTTGAGTTAAATATGTAAACTCAGTTTTAGCATAACTACATTTTAGTAAATGTCTAATTTTGGATTAAATTCTCATTCTTGATATAAAATCCATATAATGATCAACTTTGAAGAAACCTACAACATCCCCTTTTAAGCAGCTCTAACTCTCACTAAATTTAAAATAATTTATAAAGTTATATTAATTAAATGCTGTTTCATTTAATTACATAATTTAATAATTTTTTTGCTCAAGCATAATTTGCATTTTTGTTATAAGAAAGATATGTTTATATAATATTTCATTCAATAACAACTTAGAAGTTGAGTTAAATTCCTTAATTTAGTTTTAGGAACACTATATACCGGTACTGTATTTATTATAATACATCAACTATTTTTATTATAGTTTATAAGTTCTAACTAAAGTTCTTTATATAACTCCAAATTCTATGGGATTCAATTGCAATTAAATTAAAATTGATTATAACATGTATTTTATAATTCAATTTACTTCATATCGAGCATATTTAAATTTAATTATTACGTTATGATAAAATCTTTCTAAAAGATTATTAAATTATAAATTATATTTTTTTATTTAATTTACATTTAATTTAAGTATAATGGAAAGTTTATAAGCTAATCAAAATTTATTGATAAATCAAAACTGTTTAAAATGTTTTCATTAAATGTTGGATTAGTTTTTGGAAACATTATTATTAACTAAAATAATTTCATACTATTTAAAAGGAATATAATTTTTAATTTGTTTAAGTAATTGCAGTAAAATCATAAAAATAATACAATTCACTAATAATTAGTTTTAAACCGCGTTTTGTTTTTCATTTTTTTAGAAATGTATTTTTATTATTCTTAATATTTAATTATATAAATTTATTAATACAAACGCACTGTAAATGCATTTTTGTTATATAATTGCTAAATAGTTGGGACTATTTCAACGGAAATTCTTTTTGTTATTCTTGAGTGCAATGTTTAAACCATACGATCTATACATTACATAATAACCAAACAAAAGGAGCTTAAATTGATTTTGTCATTTCAGGTGCTCTAGCGTTACATTTGGTCTATAAGTGGATTTCATTGCCATTAATATAATGAATTTGAATTCATTCACTGCATTCATAATTGCAATGACTTTTTCATTATATTTAATTGTAAGTCAAGCCTCGAGTAACGACGTGCAGAGGTATGGATTCATTCATGTATTTTTCCCATTATTAAAGACTTGCTGACCGAAAGGTTGGTCCAGTCTTTTAGCTAAACTCAATCCTATCCTCTTGTGATTGTGTTGGACAGGGTTTGGGTCACCATTTGAAACACTAGTCTCTATCAGTTATTCTCTGAGTACTGTATTTTGGATTTAGTATAAATCGGTTCAAAATCATTTGTAGAACATTTTGCTGCACTTTTATCATTAGAGAGTACAGTCATTAACCATCAAATATTTAATCCAATGACTGACTTGAATATAACACAGCAAATACCGAAAATGTATTATTGTTGAGAGTATCAATCATTTATAGAGTTAACAGTAATGCATAACCCTTTACTTCCATCATTTAGCTAAATCAATTAATTCATTCATATAATCAAATTCTATTCTTTATTTTTAAGAAATTTAACAATTTATCCCATACTACAAGTTTGTATATAATGCAAGAATTTAAAACCATTCATTTCTGCACATGTTAAATTATGTAACAAATTAATTAAACAAACATTTAATTAGACATTATTCCAATTTGAAAATGTCATTATTTAGTTCATTAAATGTGTTCAGTATTCTTATGTTTTAAATTCAGATTCAAAGAAATCATTTATCAGCAAATGTTTGCTACAAAGACAGTGAAAAATTGTAAAGAATCGCATCTATTATATGAAACACATTTATATTTCACGACTTTTGGATTCTTTGTTTTGCCTTATTTTACTGATAGTATGATTATAACTATGATTATGATTATTGTTACTCATCTAGGATTTGCTCCTATAATATGTTGCATTGCATTATATTATACAAACAAACATAACTTGAATACGTTTAATGAGATGTTAAATTATTTTGTTTAGTAGTAAATTTTGACCATTATAAAATCACAGATCCAAAATTGTAACCTTTTTATGTTTATTCGTATACTCTTAAGGGTATTGAATAATTTTTAATTTCTATAATATTGATTGAAACAATTTAGCAATTATATCAATCATACGGACAAACAAATATTAGACCATTTACTGAATTCAAGCAGATATGATCACCGTATGAGACCCGCCCGTGAGTACCATTTCTTATATCAAATACTGTATTAATATTTCACATAATAATCGTCTTTAACTTCAGATTTGTTGTGTAAAAATGATACATAAATGTAGAGTTATATGCATTTGTGATATAATGTTGTGTTAATATTAATAATGTGTTTTTACGTTTTATACCTATTTTATGATTATTTTTGGATTGTATTTTTCGTAGAATAGTTGCTATTAATTCTTTATATATACAGTATATTTAATATAAGTATACAGTACATAAAGCTAGATTTACAGACGTATGCTTTACATTTAAATAAAGGCAATAATTTAGATAAAAATTTCACCACCGCACATGAATTTGCATATACAGTAAGTTAGATTAGAATATAAAATTAACTAAAATGAATTTGTATTTATTTTTAAAAATTAAAATTTTTAGTAAAATTAAAAATGTTGTCACACTTTATATGTAATTTCAATGAAGACTTTTACATACAGAAAGGAATTGCGTAATAAATTCAATTTTGATATCATAACAATTGACACGATATTGTGAACACGTATGTGAGACCCGTCCAAAAGATGCGCAAAGTTAAGGGGATTAGTTGTATTACTTATCTTAAGCACAACCAGAATAATCTTTTTACATATATACATGAAAACGCGCAGGGGCCACTGTAGGGCCACTTTTGTATAGTGAGGTTATACTTTAGTTATAGCATGACTAATGCTATCAAATATAAATTTGTCGATAAATTGCTATATTTATAACTCATACAGTACGAACTATTTACTATTACATTTCAACATGAGAATCCCTGCATATATAGTACATATACAGTATATTACAATAAACTGGTTTTTGTGATATATAGCATAAACGTGTAAAAATCATGTCATACAGTTAGCTTACCTTTTAGATAATTTAGGTACTAATCGCTATACCTTTGCGTAGCTTTACTTTCTTTTGGAGGCAAGTTTATCCATGAAAAAAGTATAATATATTAAAGGGATTGAGTAATGGATTACCGCTTTGGGGTCACTTTTAACAAACTACAGTATTTAATTTTGCAAAAATATACAATAGCCTTGCTTATTCTTAAAAAAAACTAGCGATAAACCTAAACTCTAATGCTGTTATAACGTAACTTATAAGACGTGTAAACATTTTAAGCATTTAAATCACAACCAAAGGACGCCAACGGGTATTTACTCACAACACAGAATCTATTTATATATTTGTCACAATTCAGAGTTAAAAAGGTGCTCAAAACACCTTTGGCTAGTTATTGGTATATTCTCATAGAAGTTTACACTTAAAATTGCACCTAGAGCTTTGTCACTCACAATAATTGTGTTATTGAAAATGTTTGCTCACAAATTCTGTTTTTATAATAAATATCAATTATAAATTTATTATGCATACGTAAACAATTAATTTACTTTTAATAATTAATAGCTAAAAATATTATTAATTATATAATTGTAATTAAATATTGTTAAATTAAAATTATTTAAATGTTATATTTGTTATACAACAACCACAACAATAATTTCCCTAATTACTACTTTTTGATAAAAATACTATAAAATTAGTTTCCATTTCTCACAACATGTTTTAATTTATAAAAAGCAGTCAATTTTAATATGAAATCTATTATATTAATAGTGAAGACAATAGTAAACGTAAGTGTTTTACTATTGACACTGTCTTCACCGGACGAGTCGAGTGTGACCTACGAAATAGGGTTTTTGATGCTCCAGATGTGGGACGACCCGAGAATAGAGTTCCGGGACGGAGGGAGACATAAATACTTAAATGCATTAATGCACGCCGATATGCTCTGGGTATGGATAGAGGCTTTATATTTTAACCACTCTGTCAATTGATTAATGCTTGCATTGTTGCAGATGCCGGACACATATTTCATAAAACATGGTGAATTCAAATACCCGCTCGACCGCTTTGATCCAGTTCACATCGCTTTGAAGATATTTCCAAATGGATCAGTCATATACGTAACAAGGTGACATATTCATTGAACCCATCAATTAATTCACTGATAATATTATTGTGTTCTTCAGGCGGAATATGATCCTCACATGTGAAGGAAATCTCAAGATATTTCCCTTCGATAGTCCCAAATGTTTTTTCGCCATTGAAAGCAGTAAGTAATGGATGTGCAGAATCTGGAATCTGTGCATGTAATTTATATACCGTACAGATTCTGCATGCAGTACATGGTTGTTTAACATGGCTATTAAAATTGTCAAACTTTATAATTCATGATTATTGAACATTGATTTTCATTGATTGCTAGTCTCCCACGAAAAAGATCAGTTAGAGTTGCGTTGGGACGTGAGAGTGGCCATCAAAGCGTCGGCCTCTATAAAGACAATGAACGCATATATGATGAGGAATGAGACGAATAAATGCAACCGAAAGCACACCTGGAGGAGAGAATACAGTTGTTTAAGTGTTTTACTGGTGTTCTATAATGTATTACTGTTGTGACGTTTTTATATGAAATATTGTATTTGTAAAAAATTGTATAAATAATATAAATATTTAGAGACAAAATAACTAAAAATGAAGGCCTGAAAGGTTTCGATTCTGGTTTCTGGCCGTAGTATTCAGTCTTTTAGACAACACATGACTGAAACTACTTTTTAGTTTAGAAATTTTGTGCAGTAAGTCATAGGAGAAATAAAATTGTGTGGTTTTGATAACTTTAAAGTTTAAAAATCATTTCATTAAATGCTGTAAACAAATATATTTAAAATGAACACTAATTCAAAAACGTAATTTTATTTAAAGTTTGAGGTCTACTATAGTGTAAATGTTCTAAAGGATTGCGATGTGTTGCAGAAGACACTGATTTGATTGCAATAAAAGAATATTCTTTTCATTTAGAGATATATTGAAGTGGAGATTGAATTGAGGCTATGGTTTGAAAGGCAATGAATTCAGTGTATGTCTAAAGGCGACTGTGAGTTGAACTCGAGTTCATCATTTTGAGCCTCGAACTCATTCTCGATCCAGTCGTCCAATTGGGCCGGTTTTATGACCGCATACGTCAAGAAGTAGAAGAATGAGAACAAAGTAAACAATAGTGTAAATGCAGTTTTTGAGATGTGGTCTATAGAACGGGCCAATCGGGCTCTTGACGTCATTTCTGTTGCCCGGAATAGTTGTGGTCTTCGAAGCCATGCAAACACAGACGCTCGTAGTCTGTCGTCGTTGTCGTGAAGCGAAGCCGTGGCTGAAGGTTGCGGTCGGAATGGCGAATGTCTTTGATGGATATCACTCATCGATTTGTTCCGATTTAGCTTATGGTTGATCTGAGTGACCACTGATGGGTCTTCGCCCTCAACCAACGGCGCTTTTAATTCAAATTCATCTTTATTCGGTGATATAGGCATGTGATCCGGTTGTAAGAGCACTGAATCCGCTTGTTTTCTACTGTTTGGCTGTAAATGTTTGACAATATTAGCAAAAATATAACACTGAAAATGTTTGGCACACCTGATGGCGAAAATTGTGATAATAGTCACTCTGTCCGCCCATACTCTGGTAGTCACCCGAATTGGGTCGACTAGAGTGCGGGAGCTTTCGGTGCAAATAGTTAACGATAATGAACTCAATCATCGACGCGTAGATGAAGAACATGCAGACAAAGTCCCATAAGTTCATTGCCGTCAGGTCTGACACGACCGGCAGTTTAGAGCGAAAGCTATTAGTTGTGGTGCAAAAGTTCAACATTGTTGTGACCGCAATCATGACTCGGGCCGGCACTGCGTTCACATCCAACCAGAAGCTGATGAAAGAACTCGTCACCAAAACCATTCCCGGAACAAACACTGTACTGAAGTAAAACGCTTTGTCTCTCGAGAACACCAGTAAAACACTTAAACAACTGTATTCTCTCCTCCAGGTGTGCTTTCGGTTGCATTTATTCGTCTCATTCCTCATCATATATGCGTTCATTGTCTTTATAGAGGCCGACGCTTTGATGGCTACTCTCACGTCCCAACGCAACTCTAACTGGTCTTTTTCGTGGGAGACTAGCAATCAATGCAAATCAAAGTTCAATCATCATGAATTATCAAGTTATGTTATTTGACAATTTTAATAGCATATAAACAACCATGTACTGCATGCAGAATCTGTACTGTATATAAATGACATGCACAGATTCCAGATTCTGCACATCCATTACTTACTGCTTTCAATGGCGAAAAAACATTTAGGACTATCGAAGGGAAATATCTTGAGATTCCCTTCACATGTGAGGATCATATTCCGCCTGAAGTGCACAATAATATTATCAGTGAATTAATTTGTGGGTTCAATGAATATATCACCTTGTTACGTATATGACTGATCCATTTGGAAATATCTTCAAAGCGATGTGAACTGGATCAAAGCGGTCGAGCGGGTACTTGAATTCACCATGTTTTATGAAATATGTGTCCGGCATCTGCAACAATGCAAGCATTAATCAATTGACATAGTGGTCAACATATAAAGCCTTTACCCATACCCAGAGCATATCGGCGTGCATTAATGCATTTAAGTATTTATGTCTCCCTCCGTCCCGGAACTCTATTCTCGGGTCGTCCCACATCTGGAGCATCAAAAAGCCTATCTCGTAGGTCACACTCGACTCGTCCGGTGAAGACAGTGTCAATAGTAAAACACTTACATTTACTATTGTCTTCACTATTTATATAATAGATTTCATATTAAAATTGACTGCTCTTTATAAATTAAAACATATGAGAAATGGAAACTAATTTTATAGTATTTTTATCAAAAAGTAATAATTAGGGAAATTATTGTTGTGGTTGTTGTATAACAAATATAACATTTAAATAATTTTAATTTAACAATATTTAATTACAATTATATAATTAATAATATTTGTAGCTATTAATTATTAAAAGTATATTAATTGTTTATATATGCATAATAAACTTATAATTGATATTTATTATAAAAACAGAATTTGTGAGCAAACATTTAACAATTGTGAGTGACAAAGCTCTAGGTGCAATTTTAGATGTAAACTTCTACGAGAATATACCAATAACTAGCCAAAGGTGTTTTGAGCACCTTTTTAACTCTGAATTGTGACAAATATATAAATAGATTCTGTGTTGTGAGTGAATGAATACCCGTTGGCGTCCTTTGGTTATGATTTAAATGCTTAAAATGTTTACACGTCTTATAAGTTATAACAGCATTAGAGTTTAGGTTTATCGCTAGTTTTTTAAGAATAAGCAAGGCTATTGTATATTTTTGCAAAATTAAATACTGTAGTTTTTAAAAGTGACCCCAAAGCGGTAATCCATAACTCAATCCCTTTAATATATTATACTTTTTTCATGGATAAACTTGCCTCCAAAAGAAAGTAAAGCTACGCAAAGGTATAGCGATTAGTACCTAAATAATCTAAAAGGTAAGCTAACTGTATGACATAATTTTTATACGTTTATGTTATATCACAAAAACCAGTCTATTGTAATATACTGTATAAAAAGATTATTCTGGTTGTGCTTAGATAAGTAATACAACTAATCCCCTTAACTTTGCGCATCTTTTGGACGGGTCTCACATACGTGTTCACAATATCGTGTCAATTGTTATGATATCAAAATTGAATTTATTACGCAATTCCTTTCTGTAGGTAAAAGTCTTCATTGAAATTACATATAAAGTGTGACATTTTTAATTTTTACTAAAATTTTTAATTTTTAAAAATAAATACAAATTCATTTTAGTTAATTTTATATCTAACTTTATCTAACTCATATGCAAATTCATGTGCGAATAGATGAAATTTTTATCTGAATTATCGCCTTTATTTAAATGCAAAGCATACGTCTGTAAATCTAGCTTTATGTACTGTATACTTATATTAAATATATATATAAAGAATTAATAGCAACTGTTCTACGAAAAATACAATCCAAAAATAATCATAAAATAAAGTTAGGTATAAAACGTGAAAACACATTATTAATATTAACACAACATTATATCACAAATGCATATAACTCTACATTTATGTATCATTTTTACACAACAAATCTGAAGTTAAAGACGATTATTATGTGAAATATTAATACAGTATTATATGTAGATATAAGAAATGGTACTCACGGGCGGGTCTCATACGGTGATCATATCTGCTTGAATTCAGTAAATGGTCTAATATTTGTTTGTCCGTATGATTGATATAATTGCTAAATTGTTTCAATCAATATTACAGAAATTAAAAATTATTCAATACCCTTAAGAGTATACGTGTAAACATAAAAAGGTTTCAATTTTGGATCTGTTATTTTATAATGGTCAAAATTTGCTACTAAACAAAATAATTTAACGTCTCATTAAAGGTATTCAAGTTATGTTTTTTTTTGTATAATATAATGCAATGCAACATATTATAGGAGCAAATCTTAGATGAGTAACAATAATCATAATCATAGTTATAATCATACTATCAGTAAAATAAAGCAAAAGAATCCAAAAGTCGTGAAATATAAATGTGTTTCATATAATAGATGCGATTCTTTACAATTTTTCACTGTCTTTATAGCAAACATTTGCTGATAAATGATTTCTTTGAATCTGAATTTAAACATAAGAATACTGAACACATATAATGAACTAAATAATGACATTTTCAAATTGGAATAATGTCTAATTAAATGTTTGTTTAATTAATTTGTTACATAATTTAACATGTACAGAAATGAATGGTTTTTAAATTCTTGCATTATATAGTATGGAATAAATTGTTAAATTTCTTAAAACATAAAGAATAGAATTTGATTATATGAATGAATTAATTGATCTAGCTAAATGATGGAAGAAAAGGGTTATGCATTAACTCTATAAATGATTGATACCCTCAGCAATAATACATTTTCGGTATTTGCTGTGTTATATTCGAGTCGATCATTGGATTAAATATTTGATGGTTAATGACTGCACTCTCTAATGATAAAAGTGCAGCAAAATGTTCTACAAATGATTTTGAACCGATTTATACTAAATCCAAAATACAGTACTCAGAGAATAACTGATAGCGACTAGTGTTTCAAATTGTGACCCAAACCCTGTCCAACACAATCACAAGAGGATAGGATTGAGTTTAGCTAAAAGACTGGACCAACCTTTCGGTCAGCAAGTCTTTAATAATGGGAAAAATACATGAATGAATCCATACCTCTG